CCCAGTGACAAATATGTCATGCAGGTTCAGGATTCGGTTCAGGAAACACGAGTTTAAAAGTCAGGTAAATAAATAAAAACGAAGAAATGTATGATTGCTAATGAGGCAACTATCCACCGGAGTTCAAATATGAAGTGGATGTAAGCAATTATAGGCAACCGTAATTAAGGCCTTCGTTAATGACAAAACCCGATACTGTCAAAAGGCCCGACGTGAAAAGTGTGAGAAACAATTCAAACGAAAAAACTTACGGCCTAATTATACATAACAAAATAATTTACAAAATATCAAATATGAGTCGAGACATGAACCACTAAACTACAGGCTCCTGACTTGGGACGTGAGGCACACGAAAGAATATGGCAGGGTTGATATAAAAACGAAGATTGCCAATGAGAAAACCCCCCACAAGAGACCAAATGACACAGCAATTAACAGCTATAGGTCACCGTACAGCCTTCAACTTTAAGCAAAGCCCATACCGCATAGTCAGCTATAAAAGGCCCCGAAATCACAAATGTAAAACAATTCAAACGAGAAAACTAACGGTCTAATTTATGTACAAAATAATGAACGAAAAACAAATATGTAACACAGCAACAAACGACAACCACTGAATTACAAGGCCATAACTAGGCATATTTTTTTAGTGAGGCAGAACTGAAAAAAAATGAGCCGAGCGGAGCATTTTATATATTTTTTTATATTTTAAGACATGTACTAACACCAAATTTTAAACAACTTTATATAGATTTATATGTCAGATAAACATCCAAATATCAATTTGAGTCTACCGCCAGAAAACAGAACAAACATCGACTCAGTAGCAATTGTTATTCAAATTGGAGTTTGCCAATTTTTCTATGACCGGTTTCGTCAAATCGTTTCAGAATATTTGGTCTGCTGATATCCTTATCGCGCTGAACATGGAGCATGGCAAGACCGCACAGTCTCTCGCCAATCATGCATGCTCTTTCCCAAGTTTTCAGTCGTCTCAGGGCAGAAACATCTAACGTTCACAGCAAACACTCGTCACTGATATTTTTGATCGAGAATCCAATAATGAGGGGGAGGAGGGGGTCCGATCCCGAAATCCCGAATGAAAAGACACGAAATTCCGTAGTTCCGAATTAGACAAACACCGTCCCTCAATAATGTCAAAATTGGATTACGGGATGTTCTTAAAAAAATTAAGGTAAAAGAAACATGGATAAAAACTAATCCATGCAGGTTTCATATTATTTATATTTTGTTTATCTGTAAAGAGAACGAATAAAGTTGAGGAAAACGGGGAAACGAATACGCAGATAGGACTGCTCCCGTGCGGGTGCCGCAGTACTTGATTTGTCAGTCTAATTATAGTTTTTGGATTAGTTCCAATGAAAATATATTCATTACTCGAACTCTTAACACCTGTTGTGATCACAAACAACATCAGTTAGTTTGCTAGAACTATTCCTTCCTCACCTTCAGTGTCGCTTTTCCTTTTTCTGCAAGAGCCTGTTTTTAACCAGAGATCCATGATGATTACCGTTACTAGGTTAATGTAATCGAGAAATACGATGAGATGCTGAGTTATATCCGGGAAGAACAATTTATATCCGGGAAGAACAATTTAAAAGGAACGATGTGACTCAAGTTATAGAAGAAATTAAGGTTGAGACAGAAAAAACAAATGACAATATTTCGTATTTAATTACCATAGATAAATACACCAAAAAAAAAATTCAGTGTCGAAATTTTAGTGAGGCAATTGCCTCAGATCGAGTCACTTGCCTCAATGGTAGTTACGGCCTTGAATTACAGGCTCTTGACCTGGGACAGGCACATACATACAGAATGTTGCGGGGTTAAACATGTTAGCGGGATCCGGCCCAACCAGCCCCCTAATCTGGGACAGTGGTGTAACAGTACAATAACATGTTTGTGAGCGCTCAACCCTCCCCGAAGCTGTGATAGTGGTGTAACAGTACAATATAAGAACAACCTGCACAAATCAATTGCAATTAGATTAAATCAAAAGATCGGTACGAGACACACAAAAAAAACTTACGTTAAGACAATAGACACAAAGCACCGAAATAAGAGTATTTGCAATTACTGGAAGTTTGTTCAAAGCTAATTACAACTATATGACTGGAATAAATCTTGTTCTCCCAGACTGAAGTATCAATCAGTACACAACCAACGGATTTATTAAAAAAGAAAAGAAGAAAAAACAGTCTAAGAAATGTCTGGTATACATTGTATACTTGCATATAGATCCATATACAATGAAAATCTTTGAAAAGTGGCCCGTGGTCCGAAGGTTTTGACCATCGAAATTATGCATTAGAAATAATAGTTAGGACCACTGAGAAGATTTTCTTCAAGGACCACCAGAGAAAAATGATTTTGAGAACTTTCCGATATCTTTGCTTTATACAAAAATATATATAATCCAGTTTGGTTACTTTAAAAAAATTGGATAGACAATATGTCCTTTTTGATCATTCGAGACAAAAATTGACGAATTTTTGTGCATGCAGTTTAAGGTTATTCTTAAAAATCAAATAGTGGGGGTTTACGCCTGATTTGTCTAGCAAAATTTAGTAAGAGGAAAGAACAAAGAAAAATGTCACGAACAAAGCACTTTTACAGTCATGTCTACCGGACGTATCTTAATTTTCTATAAAATCATCGTAAACTTCATTTAATATGTCATCCAACATAACAAAAATCTGCTATATTTTGTGTTATTGATCTTCCGTAGTATATCTCCAGAAGAGGTCCAGATTCATTTTTTTGGACTCTTCACCAGAAGACATTCTGGAGATGTGCAGAAGAGACCAATAAAACACGCCCCTGGTCCATTACCAATATCTGGGGCGTGTTTTTTTGTTCTTCGGTAGTGAGCCAGAAGAGGTCCATTTCTATTTTTTTGAATTAGGAAGATCTTCTGGCTCTCTTCCACCTCTTCTTTTTAAATAGGTGGTTTAGACGGCAGAGGCACAAAACAAACATGGCGTCGTTTAGTCTAAATGACATTAATAAATTCATGAATGAATATATATTAGAATGTGAGCTGTTTTATAAACGTTTTTATGGTATGACAACCTTAGTAGGACATCTCTGTAGGACGATAAGCTGGATGAATATAAGAACTACACGGACAATAACAGTTAAGGGACAACTATTCGTTGAAATTTTAGGGAAGGGATTTTGATTGGTGTTTTACGCTACTTTCAACACTCATGATTGGGCTAGTAGTCAGCCTGTTTAAATCAATAGATGAGGAATTAATGAAGAAGGAAAGAGGGCATTATTATTCATTTTAATTTGTCGCTTATCATACCTATTTTTTAGCACTTACCAGGCAACCATATCAGTCATATACGAAACCCTCCTGTCCCCCATCCCAACAAATAAATAAATATCAGATGGTTTTCTCTTATTAAACACAAGTTTAAATTGATCATGCTAATTTTTAACGCCCAATGACAAATATTTCATGCATGTTCAGGAAAACACGAGATAACTTGAAATGTCGGGTAAATTATATAAAAACGAAGAGATGTGATATGATTGCTAATGAGGCAACTATCCTAATATGAAGTGGATGTAAGCAATTATAGGCAACCTTGAGGCCTTCAACAATGACAAAACCCGATACTGTAAAGCCGTTTATAAAAGGCCATTAAAAGTGTGAAACAATTCAAACGATAAAACTAACGGCCTAATTATACAAAACAAAACAATTTACAAAATATCAAATTTGAGTTGAGACATGAACCAACGACAACCACTAAACTACAGGCTCCTGACTTGGGACAGGTTCGTAAAGAATATGGCAGGGGTTTATATAAAAACGAAGATGTGGTATGATTGACAATGAGACAACTCTTCACAAGAGACCAAATGATACAGAAATTAACAGCCATATGTCACAATACGGCTTTCAACAATAAGCAAAGCCCATACTGGCACATAGTGAGCAATAAAAAGCCCCGAAATCACAAATGTAAAACAATTCAATGGTAAAAACTAACGGCCTAACTAATATACAAAATAAAGTGAACGAAAAACAAATAAGTAACACAGCAACAAACGACAACCACTGACTTACAGGCTCCTGACTTGGGACAGGCACATACATACAGAATGTGGCGGGGTTAAACATGTTAGCGGGATCCCAACCATCCCCTACCTGGGACACTGAGTTATGTAACAGTACAACAACTTGTTTGTGAGCGCTAAATCCTCCCCGAAGCTGAAACAGTAGTGTAGCAGTACAATATAAGAACAACCTGCGCAAATCTGTGGCAATTAGATTAACTCAAGAGTTCGGTACGAATACACAAAAGAAACCGGACAACTAACATTAAGACAATAGACTCAAAGCATCGAACTAAGAGTATTTGCAATTACTAGAAGTTCGTTCAAAGCTAGTTGCAACTAGTACTGAAATAAATCTTGTTCTCCCAGACTTAAGTATCAATCAGTGCACAACCAACTGATATCTTGTTAATCCAGTTCGGTTACTTTAAAAACAAAAATGGAAAGACTAAGATTTCCTTTTTCATCAGTCATATTCCAGACAAACATTGAAGAACTCTTGTGCAGTTTAAGATTATTCTTAAAAATCTAATAGTGGGGGTTAAGCCTGATTTGTTCAGCAAAATTGAGTTAAAGGAAAGCATAAAGAAAATTGTAACGAACAGAGAACACTTTTACAGTCATGTCTACTGCATGGACGTATCTTAATTTTCTAAAAAAATCGTAAACTTAATTTATGTCATCCAACATAACAAAACCTGCTATATTCGGCGGCAAATTGCTTTTTTATTTTATTGATCTTCCATAGAATATCTCCAGAAGAGGTCCAGATTCATTTTTTTGGACGCTTCACCAGTAGACATTCTGGAGATGTACCGAAGAGACCAATAAAACACACCCCTGATGTGTCAAAATTTAGATTTTTGTTCGGAATTTTTCCAAAACCGTCATCGACTTAAATTTTTATGCGACTAAGAGTTTCCGGAATTTTTTCCTCTAACAGATGAAAAATGAAGGAATGCTAGTGGTAATCACATCATAGTGTTTAGCTCATTTAATCTATAAACTGATATTCCAAATTCTGTTACTAAAAACCAAGCTTACAGCAGTCCGTTCTTCTACATGTATTTACTGTTTGTGACCTTGAACATGTTGAACAGTTTCATGTTTTGGTCTTTTACTGTTTTAGGAACAAGTCATGACATCATGACATAATTAGTAGTCCCAAAGATGAGGGTTAGAACTGAAATGATTGGTTACTAACAAAGATGAATGATCACTTGAACTTGAACTTGGCAACCAAATGATTTTTATTCCTGTATTCCACAAAACTGGTATCTAGGTACATCAGAAGGAATGAGAAATGTGGCCAATTTCATCTGTTCATTTGATACGGCCCACTCATTTACACAGTTTAAATCTATCATTGTTGTGCAGATATCCTTTGTCCATTTCAAGTTAAACAACTCACTTATATTATTACAAGAGGGAACATGTCAAGTATTTTTCCAAACTTAGTTTATTTTTAAAATTGACACATGATTGAGAATGGAACTTTACCAGGTGCACATGTACATGTTTGCCTGTACTCAGAATAAAATTTAATTTGTGGTGTACATATGGCCATATTTGCCAATTTTGAAGGTAATGAGGAACCTTTAGTTATTGTATCAAGGTTGTTTTGTCCTGATTCTTTGTCTGTACTCAGAATAATATGTGTGGTGTAAATACGGCCATATTTGCCAAAAGGGTATGATAAACCTTACATTTTTGTAAGATATGGAATCAAGGTTGTTTTGTCCTGATTCTTGTTTAAACCCAGAGTCACTTTGTCAAGATTCCCACTTGCCCTGAGTCACTGAAATGTTTTCAGAGTTCTTGAAACTTTTTTTTCCCTGGTGGTCCATTGAAGAAAATCTGCTGGTCCTCATAATTTTTTCATTTGCAAAAAACCAAAATGTCACGAATGTGTCGATCATTTGCAAAATTTTGTTGGTCAAAACCTTCGAACCACCACTTTTCAAGAACTCTGTGTTTTAGGGTTGTAGTCCAATATATGTTAGGTAGGTGGACAAAAAACAGACTTACTTAATTGCCTTATAATGCTTACAAAAAATACAACTTCTCAGTTACTATTGTACACGAACAATTTGCTTAAAGCTGGATATGTTGTAAATTGCCTTGTACATGAGATTTTCATATGTTGTTACTTTTAAACTATGGTCCTTTTTAATTTTATCAGCTTTATAAAGTTTGTAGAAAGCTTTGGATATTTTAATATTTTGGCCTCAACATGCTCAAGCATCACAAAAGAGACTTACACTATTGAAATGTGTATCTGTTGCAGTAAAATTGGTACTGTTAATGTTATTGCTCCTAATTCTATAAATTATTTCCAATCTGTTGAACATCTGAATCTGCAGAGATTAAAGATACATGTAGGGTGTCAAATAATTGTATACTGATGACTCATGCAACACTTTAGAACCACCTACCAAATGTTTAGTCCAGCTGCTTACTCTGGTTCTGAAATGCAACAATTTCACCTTTAATGGTGAACATTACCTTCAGATAAACAGGACAGCGATGGGGACGAAAATGGCTCCGTCTTACGCCAATATTTTCATGGGCAAATTAGAGAAACAAATCATTTAAACATCTTTATCCAGTCCTCTGTCTTGGTTCCGTTTCATCGATGATGTTGACATGAAATGGATTGAATCCCAACTTAAATTAGATGTTTTCATCAGACATGCAAACAATGCCCACCAGTCAATTAAATTTACATATGAAATTTCTGACTCTAAAATATCTTTCTTAGACACAACTACATCTATAAAGGATGGTGTCATATCAACAGACCTCTACTGTAAACCTACAAATAAACATCAGTACCTTTCTCCCCAAAGCTGTCACCCCAAACACTGTACAAAAAGTATCCCCTATAGTCAAGCTCTCAGAGTAAAGCAGATTTGCTCCTCTGAGGAGGCTGTCACTAAACGGTTACAGGAACTTCACGGATTTTTGACCAAACAAGGTTATAAGAAATGGGACATATATATATGTAGATCAGGGTTTGCATGTGCTAACAATAACAACCGCAATGACCTATTACAATAAAAACAGAAGAGGCGCAGCAAAATAGTTCCATTTGTTTTAACATACAATCCCGCCTTTACTAACCTTTCACGTTTGATCCATACCAATTGGCAAACTATTGCCAAGCACCCTAAATTATCCAAGATCTTTCCCAAACCTCCTTTCTTAGCTTTTTGGAGACCAGCAAGTCTGAAAGACTTATTTGTGAGAGCTGATGTCTCCTCTAATAAAAGCTGTTCAACTGCAGGATGGTGCAAGTCATGTGGTAACAAATACTGAATTCTCATACATTTACTTGCCACTCCACTGGGTCTGTGTACACTATATTTTGCAATGTAACTTGCAAAACCCAGAATGTTGTATACCTTCTTCAGTGTCGATCTGGCATGCAGTATGTTGGCGAGACAGAACAGCCATTCAACAAACACATGAATGGTCATCGAAGTGACTACACCTGCAAGCTCGACCTCACTATAAGTCGTCATTTGAGATCACCTGGGCACGCCCAAGCTGATCTCAAAAACCTTACCATCACTATCATAGACCACAACGAGGGTTGGTCAAGGGCCGACAGACTTGCTCGGGAAAGGTTTTGGATAAGAAAGCTTAGGACAGTTTCCCCAGAGGGCATAAATGGAAAAACATAGAATGTGTCACTCATTTTCCCTACCATCACTTGTTTCCAGTAACTCAGGCTTCCGTTTTGGACTTTTACAGTTTTAAGAAATTTATTCCTCCTCCCAAACATCAATATTGAAAAAAATTACCAGCGTATTGATTATTGATAATTTGTATAGCATTCAAGATTTTTATTTCAGTTTGACTACCACATGTCAAGATAAGATTCATTTTACATCTTACTGATGAAGGATATCAGTTATCCAAAATATCTAAAATTTGTTCATGATTTAATTATTTTTTGGTGATGTTGTACCCTTTTAGACTTGTTATATATTATATTTTGTAGTGTACTGTATCATAATTTTATGATCCATCGCCCCGTAAGATTTATCTTTGGCTATTATTCAGTCATTTCATATTATATACAATATATAGCCGAACAATAGCAACAGAGTAAGTCAGTTTATGTGATACATGCAGTACTTCTGGCACCCATCAATAGGAATCATGCCCATATACATGTGTAAATTGCTTATGGCATTTAAAAGTCCAGAGATATATTGCATTCAGTCATGGTCATAATGATGATGAAAGAGCAACAGGGTTGTGGCTATGGAAAAGATCAATGGTCAAACCAATTTTACATTAGTAATGTGGTTCCCCTTGTTCAACCATGCGAGAAAATGTAAATAAATGCAATCAACTATCGGGCATTGTGATTGGCATAATACAAGAAACACAAACTTATAAGTTATAATGTTATATAAATTTTTCTTTAATGAGTCAAATCACTGTTAATTAACGTGTACTGATCAGCTGTTATTGACAGGTAAACCTATTTTTACCTGTTCAGTATATATTACGATGTACACGCAGTATTGACAACAAATTTATTACGTAATGGCAGATCATAACAAAACAAACAGAATAAAATATTAACGATCTTCAAAATGGCAGGCCCATTTGAAAAAGGCAAAGGGCGCCTTTAAAACTGTAAAAAGGGCACACTCCTGGTCACCACTCTAAAAGGGAGTTGTGCACTCTGAAAAACCGAATAGCTGGAACACTGATTATGGTCATGAAACCAAACTGAATAGTGTAGGACATGTATTTTACCAAACCTTTAATATAACAGGTTCATGCAAGTTTTAGTTACGGGGACTCTGTGGCCAAGGGGTCTAAAGAGTCAAACTACTTTATCACTAGCCTGTCAACATTGATGTTGTGAGTTTGAATCCCCCACATGGCAGGTGCGCTCGACTCCAATCTTAATTGACTAGGATTGTCAGTTTTCCTACCAAAGGTCAGCGGTTCTCTCCGGGCACTCAGCTGGCTTCCTCCACCAATAAAAAGTTGACCACCACGAAATAGCACCATAGTGCTGAAAATTGTGTTATACAGCAATCAATAAATCAATCCAGGTTTAGTTACAAAGAGTACAAATGTATAAAAGCATTGAGAGTGTACACCATTTTCCAGCAGATTTTTATGATTTTCCCTATACATTTTAATTGTATATATATCCTTTGTGCATTTTGGCATACATGCTGTTAATTTCAACACCTTGTACATTTGTTTCACGAAAAAAACGAAAACGGTCACCCCTTTTTTTTATTCTATTTTCTGGTGTGTTTTTACAAGCAGAATTCATATGTGAAATAAAAAAAAATTCTGTGGAGTAGTTAATAATTAATAAGATATAAATATTTTCATTTGACATGTTTAACTCAACTGAATCATTCAAAGGAAAGAAGTTTACCATGTTTTTACATTAAAATAATGTAAAGAACACATTTAAATATCAATTGACAAGTATTGTCCAGAATGGTTTTCACCGCCCTTCCTTGGTGACAGTTTCTTTAAGTAAGATAAAGTAAGACTCTAGCAATGTCTAGATTGATTTCCCTTCCCTTCCTTTCTACTTTTTTTGAAACACAACAATTATCACAAAATCTGTATGCATATTATTTGATAAAAATCATTTCATCATGCAAGACATTACTAGATTGTTTGCACCATTGTTGATTCAGCCATGCTGGATCTATGCGATCACTCTGTTTTTGGAGATGGTGCAGAATACTAAGTTGAAGACATGTCATGAAACTAATTATGTGTTTTTATGACTTGCAGAAACTTTCTACACCATTTTAATCATCAACTGCCAACTTTTGACATGTTATTTGCCCTTAAATTAAGAAAAGATTGGTCGAACAACCCTTTTATTTGAGAATACACTCAAATGTGTAAGTATTAATTGGAAACAACCCCAGTCTTAATTCACCACATTAAATATCTCATGACCTGTTACATAATTAAATAGGCACAATTTATTACACACCTAACTGAATACACACATTCTTGACCTCAATAGTAAACGTACAAATGTATTATTTATTTTGATCTATACTACATTAAAATAATCTGTTAATTTTGCTAGCGAAGCTGAATGATTAATCAGACGTGGTTTTTTTTCAAAGAAAAGACAATGTAAAAATATGTATAAAAAATGCAAGCAAATTTTATTTCACTTGTAAAAACAGTGCCATTATCATCTGACATAAGTCAATAATCAAGATCTAATTAATTAGTTACAATTATCAGAAATTTGGTTGAAACAATACACAAAATTGCTTAACGTTTACCTGAGCATTTTCTGCAATAAAATTTATTTGTTTGTTCTACATTTATATCCCATTATATTGCTATTTAACAGTAATTGGAAATATCTCAGCATTAGGTATTTGTACATTTAAATTTGAATACAGGAAATGTATTTTTTCTTAATGAAGAATGAACACCAATTTAGATAAAAATTAGTTATTATTTTTTTTCTTCATTTTTGTTGTTGAGAAAGTGCATTTCCAAGGCCTCTTTCTGGAAATTATTAAGCCAGATATTATTAATGGCATATAAAAAATATATTACTTGTTTGATGATTTCCCTTTCCATTCATGTCAATACCATAAAATTGCAAATATTTATAAAAAAAAAAAATCTGACAGAGTCTAAAATTGAAATATCAATATATACATGATATATATATCATTATTTGCATCAATATTGTGAAATTCCCTACCTGTGGGCAATAACATAGAAATTTAACAGTAAGATTGGAAATGAAAAGAGAAAAAAATATTGAAAAAAGTATTGTCAGATCTAGAAAGAATATCAGACTAGCTATGAATATGACTGGATCACAACATCGATGATGCTTTGATTTTTTTTTTCATACTCATGTATGATCCTTGTGTGGTTTAGTGAAATATTCACAGAATAATTTGACATGTCACAGTTATTTTGTATTTATATACAGGCATGAATCATTCAACTATAATAACATGTGTAAATGTGTATTAATACCCTGTACATGTGTAAATATACATTTATATATTTTAGGCAGAGATGTCATTGAAATAAAGTGTAATGCATCTTGACAACCAGCTGGAAATGAGTGGGTCTGAGATAATACACCTAAATGTAGGTGGCGCTGTTTACACTACGACAAGATCTACATTGTGCAAATATCCAGATTCTATGTTAGGAGCAATGTTTAGAGGAGACATTCCATCAAGGCTAGATCTAAATGGACATTATTTTATAGACAGAGATGGTGAAATTTTCAAATATATTTTGAATTTCCTTAGATCCTCAAAACTAAGCTTGCCAAATGATTTCAAAGATTACGACTTACTGCTAAGTGAGGCAGACTTTTACCAGATTAGTCCGTTGATAGAATTAGTGATACAGACACAAGATGAATCATCTCAGAATAAATCTCATACTCATTACTTAGAAATCATAGAGGTCAGGATAGGGACCACTGCAACAATGCCATCCAAAAACTCACGAGTAAAAACAATAATGATAGGTAGGAAAGATGTCATTTTGTCTTTACCAATGCAGTTGATAGGTGAGGATGCCATCGAACGCCTGGACATGACCAATGGTATGGATTATGTAGAATTAGAGTTGAACAGTGCGAACATCAGATTGAGGCTTGCAGAAACACTGAAAAACAGTAACTGGGAACTAGTTCATTCTAACTTGTCATCGTCTTCATCTGTGAAGAGTGCCAACGGTGGGTCGTTGTGTATAGAACAAACTTACAGAGATCGTTGGATGTTAAATCTGCCAAAAATAAAAAAGTTTGTAACATATATGTAGATCTTTTTCCATTTCCTGAAATTGTGATAAAAAGATGCTCCTTTGCTTTGCATGTTACACAGGTAAAAAATGATCTGAAAAAAGGTTAAAGTGTTCATCAGTCTATATTGTACAATGTTGTACAATATATCTGTCTGTCTGTGTGTCCTTACCAAACCCTAAGTCATTACAGTACTCATTAATTAAGATTTCTACGTTGTAGAAGAAAGAATTTAAATGGTATGCAGACATTGATATAGGTACAATGTATTATGTTTGGTTTTATTTGTTTTGTATATATATTTAGCTGTTGATACTTTTGTTTCGAATATCTGATTCAATGTTTAAACTTTAAACCTATATCACATACCCTCTATTGCTTGTCCCATATAAGTTATACCCTTTATCACAATTCCTTTATGACAAACACTGTATTATATAATGCACCTTGTCACAAGCAGATTTTAAACTCACAACATTAGTGTAGGTCTTGGATTGGTCGGAGCATGCGATGATAATATACATACTGGTATGATATAGACATGACAGGTATATTCCAATCCATTTTTTTTTCTCAGAATTACCTCCCTTTGAATGTTAAATAGATCTTCCTTATATGATAAGTACATCTTAAGATATATATTTTTAGTAAGAAACTCCAGTTCCATGGGTATCAGCTGAATTTAGGAGTACAATATGAAGTTGATGGGGAATGTTTAAATGGAATGTCTTCAATTTATAGACATATTTTTTTGAGAGGATAAGAAATTTGATTTTGAATAAACAAGTAAAAGTAATTTTTACAGAATGAACATTTTGGATGTATCATGTATGACAAAGGAGCATTGTAAATCTGTGTTGTGTGGTTGGATTTGTTAAGTTTTATTTATTTTTTCTGTTGTGTTTGATAGTTTGAAGTGTGTTAAGGTTTTTTACTTTTTGAAGTGGATTTTTATTTATTTTGAAGTATTGTATTTTCAAGTACATACACAAGTTAATCCAAAGTTGTTAAGGAATTTTTTATTTCAGTATTATTCTCAGTAAAGAGTGAATCATTTTTTCCCTTGTAAGTATTTCATACAATTGTGGCGGCATATCAAATGTTGTCATTGTAGAAATTGGTCATGATAGTCACATAAAGTGAGTTAATATATACATTAATAATGAAAAAAAAAGAAGAAATACAAGGAATTTCAAAGGTCTTGCATATTAGATTATACAAGAGGACACTAAGCAGTACTTGACATAATAAATTTTGTATCAACCTTGGAATCTGTTAGCCGAGGTTAACATCTAATGCCACTTTAGAAATCTCTGCTCAGCTACTTTACATGATTACCACTTATCTTTATCATGTTTATCTATCACATTCAATAAAAACGGTGTTTGTCCTATTTGGCTATTAATCTGTGCTTTTCATTGACATAACAGGAAGTTAAATGACTTATGGGACATGTGAAATTATGAGATATCATTCTACCAGTAGATCTATTGATCTTGTAGCTCCACCTCCCAAACTTGTGATCTTGTAGCTCCACCTCCCAAAATTGTGATCTTGAAGCTCCACCTCCCAAACTTGTGATCTTGTAGCTCCACCTCTCGAGCTTGTGATCTTGTAGCTCCACCTCCCAAACTTGTGATCTTGTAGCTCCACCTCCCAAACTTGTGATCTTGTAGCTCCACCTCCCAAACTTGTGATCTTGTTGCTCCACCTTCCAAACTTGTGATCTTGTTGCTCCACCTCCCAAACTTGTGATCTTGTAGCTCCACCTCCCAAACTTGTGATCTTGTTGCTCCACCTCCCAAACTTGTGATCTTGTAGCTCCACCTCCCAAACTTGTGATCTTGTTGCTCCACCTCCTAAACTTGTGATCTTGTCGCACCACCTCCCAAACTTGTGATCTTGTAGCTCCACCTCCCAAACTTGTGATCTTGTAACTCCACCTCCCAAACTTGTGATCTTGTTGCTCCACCTCCCAAACTTGTGATCTTGTAGCTTGATTATACATTTTGTATTTTATTTAAGTAAATAATGTAACATTTTGATTTTTTCTGCCTCTAATAATATAAGTGACCAGGCCATATAATGCTGGTCATTCTGAAATCTAATAGTTTTATGGACCTTCTTCCTTATGCTTGCAGATAATTGATTCACATTTTGGTACATCAGTGTATAATGAAGACTTACAGATTGATATGGGTTTCTTTCCCATTGAGCCAGTATCAGCAGAAATATTTCCCTTTGGCTTAAAAAATTCATGAAAATTGTACTAATTTTCGTAATTCTGGAGTTTGGTACATATGTGTATGGTGATAACTTACAGATAGGGGTAATATTTTTTTCCAGTTGACTTTTTTTCGCATCAGGTCTATAGGCAGAGAATGTCTTAATGTCATACAGCCACTTCTAATTTTCTTTTTTTTATTTTAGTCAGAAAACACAAAACATGCAAGACTTTCGTAAAATAATAAAAAGAACTAACTGATTAGTTTTATTATGATATTGAATTCCATGTCAATAGTAAAAACTGACCATTCTGTAAAATATCAACTTGTTATTTAGAAAAGGTTATTTTGGCTCATTCAGATTGGAAATAATTGATATAAAACCCCAATATCAATAATATTAATATTGAAATAGAGTCTGTTCTATGTCATTTGGTCTCTGGTGGAGAGTTGTCACATTGCCAATCGTACCACATCTTCATATTTTTGTAAAGAGTATAAGTTATCTCCACAGTCATGTTTGTTAATGTCACAAACAAGGGATATTCTACAGGATTTTACTTTTTGCTAAATGTTGAACGATTTCAAACAAAGCATAAGTTATACATTTTATAATCTATATAAAAAGAAAGTTGGGTATACATCTGTGAGTCAACAATCCAACAATAAAAAAGAAGATACTTATAGGTCAACATACTGGTTTCACTAATAAATAAGTGTATATCACTTTTCTCCTGAACATGCATAAAATATTTGTCACTGGACATAAAGCAAACAACTAACCATCATCTGTATCACCTAAATCACCATGAGTCTGGTCAAGTTGTGAATGAATTTGACAGTGAAATTTTACTGAACAACAAACACTACACTGATCATGTACTCACTGTACTCAATCCTGTATCATTTTACTGAACAACAAACACTTCACTGATCATGTACTCACTGTACTCAATCCTGTATCATTTTACTGAACAACAAACACTACACCGATCATGTACCCACTGTACTCAATCCTGTATCATTTTACTGAACAACAAACACTACACCAATCATGTACTCACTGTACTCAATCCTGTATCATTTTACTGAACAACAAACACCACACTGATCATGTACTCACTATACTAATCCTGTATCATTTTACTGAACAACAAACACTACACCAATCATGTACTCACTGTACTCAATCCTGTATCATTTTACTGAACAACAAACACCACACTGATCATGTACTCACTATACTAATCCTGTATCATTTTACTGAACAACAAACACTACACCAATCATGTACTCACTGTACTCACTCCTGTATCATTTTACTGAACAACAAACACTTCACTGATCATGAGTTTCCTAAGACAGGCGTTGGTATTGTACTCACAGTACTCAAACCTGTATCATTTTATATTAATTTTCTTGTTTTATGTGAAGGAATCTTATAAATATAAAATCAATACTTTGATTTTTAATTTCTCAATGCTTTAATATGGTTAAAATTATCTTGTATATATTTTCAATGCATAAAGAAGTGACCTGGAATGCGACCAAATATTAAAAACACAAAAAATAAAGATAAAGTCAAATGACGATAAACTGTATATTTAACCCATTCCCAATCAAATGAAGACAACACTTTAGTTTCAGTTCACCTGAAGCGCTTATATAGTTTTAGTTCATCTGAAGCCCTTATATAGTTTTATTTCATCTAAAGCGCATATTTGATATTATGCACTCTTGATATTATGCACTCTTGATATTGATTATTTATCTTTTGTGTGTCTTTATGTTTTTTTTTGTTTTTTTTTTTATTTGAGGGGGAGGGGGAGGGGGTAGTTAATTTCTTAGATGTTTGCATTTTTTTAAATTTCATAAACTCCAAAAGACGGATTCCTATTTACAAAAGGATTCATTCTATCTGAAATAATGCATTATATCTATGTAATGTGTATGAGAGTTTCTTGCTTATCAAAAAAAGGAAGGGGTAAGGTACTTCAGATTAAAATAATGATTCATTCTAAATCCAAGATACATTAAGAGCATAATAGATATTTACAAAGAAAATCTAAATTTTGATGATAATTACCAAATGTATGTTCCTTATATATCTTCTTTTCTAGTATATATATATATGTGTATAGCAGTACCATTAGCTTAGCTTTTATATATCTGTATCAGCTGATCTGTATATGAGCACTATGTATACTGTAAATTCAGAAATTATTGCGTGCATTTATTATTGCGATTTTATTATTTTAGACTTAAATGCGATTTTAATTTTTACGATTTTGAGAAAAATCCTGTTTAGTTCATATAAAATATTTCAAAATGCAAGTTAAAATTATTGCGTTTTCAACTCGGTCGCATTTTTCGCAATAATAAAAACCTCGCAATAATTTCTGAATTTACTGTAGTAAATCTGCTTACTAGTATCTGTTATACAATGTATATATGTTATATCTGACAGCACCATATAAGAGGGTCTGGATGGGGTTTACAGAATAGAGATTAATGGGCCAAATCTACAGAAATATCAACCAAAAAAATAAAGAATAGAGAATAATGGGGTGCTAAAATAGAGAAAAATTACTTAAAAAATTAAAGAATACAGAAATAAAGGATCCACCATCCAGACCCTAATATTGTATAGTTGCTTAGCTTATATATATATATATGTATTTCTATATTCACAATTTGGAAAATATGCTAAGCCTTTACACTGCTGTATTGCTGTATTTGTATCTCAGAATAAACACACTCAGTATTGTATGTATTTTGAAACACCTTTTCACATTTGTTATCTTTGTTTACTTACCTTGATATCACAAAACAAGACATAGGCACTGTTTTTCTGGCATTATGTTATGTTGCTCTTGAATAATAAATCTTTGATCCATTTGATAAACTATTGGTTAATGATATTCTTTTGCATTAACTTTCATACATTTCAGATGCAAATAGGATATGGATAATTCCAGTGCATTGGGCTGATAGAAGAACAATATAAGGCTAAGGCTAAGTAACAAGGAAAATCCAACGCTCTGAAAAAACAGTTTTTTCGTTTAGTGCCAAATGCTTATATCTTCTCTATGTCAAGTCAATACATTATTGATGGCTTTTTACTGCAATCTGAAACAATTGTATACCTACTTAATGTTATAATTTTTTTCTAAATACTTTTAAATTCATCCTTTAAAAGGTGTCTTACTTAAATTAGTTGTCCAGTACAATTGTCACGTTGTGTCTTGTTAAAATCAGTCAAGTGAGCGAGTGCAGCTACATACAAAATAAATATCAACAATAAGCAATGAACTTAATAATCAATGCAACTTTATAAAAAATTTGAACCAAAACAATAATATGTGTTTATTTTTGTAAGAGAAATGATTTGATTTAGGTATATGTGAACCGGAAAAGTTTAAGGAGTCTCAGCGGTAGGTGTGGCTTTTAGAATAATTGCAGTATTTAAAGATCTTCTTACACATAGTAAATTAGTGCTTAGTCATGCTTCATTGGCTTAAAAATAGTTTACATTTTTTATTAAACATGAAGAATTATGATCAGAGATGGATTTATGGAGCTTCATGCATGATTTATGCATATACTTTTTACTAGTATCACTCCAAATGATAGATTGCCAGGTAACCCCCACCCCTTTTTCAATATCCTGGATCCATACCTTATGATTACATGTTCCTGTGGAAAAAGTATCAGTATGTGAGGCGTAGGGATCTGGCTGCGGTGGCAGAGTAAACTCTTTGTATATAGCTTTATATTTCAGAAGGTAGAAGACCTGGATGCTTCATACCTTGTATGCAGATACCTTGTGTCACGAAGTTTCCATCTGTCATATGTCCATTGCCCTTGACCTCATTTTTGGGTAAAGATTGCATGAAATGCAATCAAAACCCTATGGTACTGACTTGATATCTAAATCTTCCAAGGTTTATCACTACTTTTTACATACACAAAATATAGTGCATTGATCATAACATTCTGTACATCCTATCCATGAACATTTCCAGAAATTTATCAGTGAAATATATGCTTAGATACTCAAGTTACAATATGATGTTATACTGGTCAAGCCAATTACATAAATTGTGCAAGGTGCAGGAATCTAATATCTGTTCTAAAAATATCATTAAAGT